TGGTATACCACTTATAAGGGGCTACCTTTGGAATCAGGCAATGACTGTCGCTTAGATGTAACTTATTCAAGATTGACTGTATTTCAAAAAATAGCAATCAAATAACATTATAAAAAAGGGTTTCTTGCCTTAAATTACAAACTATTGGTTTTAATTTTTACTAACTATGATTTCTTTTGTAGGAAGCAAGAGCCGCATTAGCGTGGTTAAGAAACACAAGCGTAGAAGATAAGAACTTAGAAGAGGCTGTACAACAGCTGGAGAGAGAGGAAGAAGTTGCTAAATCTATGAAGAAAGCCAGTTGGAAGAGTTTAGGTAAATTTAATTTCTTATAAGAAAGCTTTGAAAAATGTGATACACTTTAAGCTTTGATCTTGATTTTTTTATTTAACGTGGACGAAGTCGTACTCATCAGCTAGTATTCTGTAAATAAAAAAATACTACTAGACCGATTTCAAGGTACACTTATCAGATTTTTTACTGCGCGGAATGAGCAAAAGTAAGAGATAATTTAGACGAAGTTAATAGTCTCCAGAAAGATCTAACTCATTTGAAAACCTTGTAATCTTATGACTTATTATCTTAATTTAATTATTTATACGGCACTTAATAATAGTTTGTCCTTGATTATTCAATTGGTTATTAGTAACTAACTGCAGTTCTCACGAGAACAGACCGCTAATAATCGGTTAATGGAATTAGCTCGCGGACGACCGAGTTAGTAATACATACTTCTCAGAGTTATATAAAACTGCATGCATTTCAATCACCCTGATTGTGATTTGAGCGTCGGTGGCACCTGGGTTCGAATCCCACCACGTACTAATGTTTTTCGAATTCGATATCGTTATGCATATATCTGCGAAGACATTCAGACAGTAAAGCCAACCCGCAGTGGGCCAGTTCACATTAATTCAACACTCTAACACAAATAGGACTCTAATCTCACACTTCATAATGACCTAATATTAAGCAAATAAGTTAGAATAAATGTAAGATGTCAGCAATCACAGTACATTATTATATAATTCTTTTCTTTAATAAAAAAGCCCTACACTTACGACACGCTTTAGGCTATATTTGACGCTATTAAACTTAGGCCCTAGTCAGTAACTAACGTAGCTTTTGTTAGTTACAGAATTTTTGAAATCGGCCTAGTAGTTTTTGCGTTATTTGAATACATACAAAAATACAAATCTTTTCTCTTTACATTAGTACTAGCTTTCGCCCGCGACTCCGTCTGCGTGGAATAAAAAAAAACAAAAGTGAGTAGTCTATGTGTTCTTCGAGTCTATCCTCTACATCCATACCAAATTTCATTGAAATCCATTCAGTCGTTTAGGCTACAAACTCTAACAAAGATCCATCCATGATAGATAAGCTAAAATTCATAGCAAATGTGTGTTAAAATGTATTCTTGTATATTCAACATAGAAAACAAGTCCTGTGCTATTCGCCTTTCTCTCGAACCAGTTTATTTCCCGATTCATAACTAGTATTATGACTTCATTAGGGATCATTGATATTCCAAGAAATAAAAATCTTACGATTAACGTTAAGATTTCATTTGTTTTTAAATAGATTTCATTTGACAGTTTTATTTTTTAATTTATTGTTGCAAACTGCTTCGAAATTCAAAATTGAATGATACACTGATTTCTTAATGTCAAGCCAAAATAATCTATTAAAGTTATAAATTTTCTGCGACTTTTTAAGCGAATTAAAAGTTTATTCAACTATAGCTGTTACTTGCGACTTCGTTCGCGTGAAATTAAAAGAAATTTCTAATGGTAAAAGAATTATTAAAGTCGACTCAATAGTTTTCGGGTTATTTCAATACATACAAAAATACAAATCTTTCCTCTTTATATTAGTATAGATTTAATTATTGCCTCGCTCATCAGCTACCTTCAAGCAAAAGTCCCATTTAATTCAATCCATCGATTTCGGAGAATACCCATTACAACAGACAGACGGGCAAAAATTTTATAAATCGTTTTTCTTTTATAAGCAACTCGACACTTTAATTTGATTAATTGCATAAGTAAAGTTTTTGTAATTTGTATACAAAAATAAGACGACATAAACTGTACATAAGCTTCGCTTATATGCAGATGTATGAAGTTATAACGCAAAAAAGTATACAAAAACCGTCAGTTTCTGGTTATACCTTTCAAGTTACAAAAATGTATTTTATTTTCAGTTCAAAATAAAACAACGTTCAAAGCATTCCGTATCTCACTCAACGTGATGCTGTCACAAGAGACGTGCGGTTACCTCGTGGTGCTGATGTACGCGGGGTCCATCTTCGAGCAGGCTTCGGAATCCATCAGCCTAAAACTGAGCCCTAACAAACAGACTATCGTTGTCGGCGCTATCCAGCTGCTAGGATCGATTGTAGCTAGCTGTATTGTGGAAAAAACTGGTAGAAAGGTATGTTCCTATTGATTGTCCTTTAAGTCGTATAGATAGGTCATGATTTATGGACTAAAGGATCACATAAAACACAAATTCAGTGGTCAAAAACCCTTCAAATGTATCAAAATTATTACATACTTGCTTTCGCCAACGATTCTGTCCGCGTGGCATTAAAAAAGTAGCCTATGTGATCTTCCAGATTATCCTCTACATCTTTACCAAATTTCATCGAAATCTGTTCAGCCGTTTAGACTACAAACTCTTAACAAACATCCACCTATCCATCTATCTAAACTTTCGCATTTATAAGTAAGATTTCCTTTTAAGTACAGATGTAGTTTTGCGTAAGTATGACTGAACATCTTAAGCCCTAGGCCTCACATCTCCAGTAAAGTGTTGTCTCTCGCACTAACTTTGATATCCTGCTCTGAGTATGTTGTTATTTATAAGACTTGACTAAAACACTCGGTGGTCATCCAGTGCAACTGAAGAATCCGCGGATCACCAACAAACCGTTTCACCACCTTAAGATCTTTTTGATAATATATTGTTTTTCTAGACGTAATAAACTGGTATTCTTTTCCAGTGGCTACTCGCGAGCACGTCGTTCGTGACGGGTCT